CAGTATAGATGTCCATAACACACTCTTATCTATGTCACTTTCTATAACACTTTCTATTTATGCACGGAATAAAAATGTAATATCAAGGATTTTACAATTATTTTAAAAAACTTTAATTATAAATTCGGTTTATCAATAATAGTATAAAATGTATGCAACTACATCGTTTTTAGACTGATATAGTTTAGGAGAGCTTGTAAGTATTACGCGCTGATAAAAGGAACAGAATCAAATAGAACTTTATTAGTTATCTTGGCTCTCCAATTCGATTTTGAATCAAATAGTTTTTTAATATCCGAAATAATTAGTAATTTAAATTTAGATTTTATATTAAAATAGTTTAAAACTTATTTTTTGACATGGATATTCGACATGGCTTACAATAAATAAAGTAATACAAATATATGTAAATAGAAAATAAATAAAATCATTTTGTCACAATATTTAAATGAACAAAATTTTGTATTTTAAATGCTTTTAGACAATAATTAGTTGGATAAAATTTTGACCTATTATTAAATTTGAACTTGATTTTATATGAACTAAATAATTTTAATGTCCATAATATATAAAAAATTGTTAATAAAGTAAAATAATTTAAAACAAGTAAAAACGTTTCAGTCAGTATAAACCGATTGAATTATACCCTGCACCTTTCGTTATTGTGTAGCAATTACACGAACCCGTGAAATCATTCTATAGAAACTTCACGGATATGTCTGACCTATAATTGGACATCCGACTGCCAAGTTTCATGAATCTGACTTTATTATTTTTCCAAATATTAAAAATAAGCTTTTAGGCTTGTATGGTATCTACTCGAACCTGTCAAGCAATTCCACCAAAACTTCAGAAATATATCTAACCTGTAACTCGACATACAAGTGCCAAGTTTCATGAATCTGACTTTATTATTTTTCCAAATATTTAAAATTAGCTTCTGGAGTTGTATGGCAGGTACCCGAACCGGTGCAGCTATCCCATTATAATTTTTAGAGCATGTGTAGAATATAATTGGACACATGTATACAAAATTTTATATTTATAGCTTTATTAGTTTTCGAAATATTTAAAATAAACTCTTTGAGCTGTATGGCAGCTACCCGAACCCGTTGTCCGAATTAGTCCAATAACAATAGGGTTCGTCCTTGGCACAAAAGAAAAAACTTGTGAAAGTTTGGTGTCGATTGCATTATTCGTTTTTGAGTTATCGTGCGATCGGACGGACGGACGGACGGACGGACGGACGGACGGACGGACGGACGGACGGACGGACGGACGGACGGACGGACATGTCTAAATCGACTCAGAATTTTACGCTGAGCAAGAATATATATATATGTCCATACCGCAGATGACTCCTTCAAGTAGTTACAAACTCCATACCAAAGTTAATATACCCTTCACGAAGTGCAGGGTATAAAAAAACTTAATTACAAAATGAAAAACAAATTTAACTACCTCATCTTACAACATTTTAATGTAAATTTTTAATGATGATCTTCTACAAGGGCATTATTTATTGGACAAATAAGAAAACAATATACAAAGAAAAATTTTGTTAGAAGAAACATTCTTTGGAAGCACTACCACACTCATTCACAATGATTTTCTAAAAAATTTTTTTTAACTTAATTTCAATAGACTCATGTGTCTTTTCTGAATTTCTACGTCAAAAATGTCTTATTTTTAGTTTTTTTTTATTATTTTTTACCTTTATTATCAAAAAATAAATTTTATGTTTCACTATACGCGTAATGTACTACATATACATCGAATATATACAATTAATAAATTATATGTGCCGCGCGCGGCTATTGAACTAAAAATAATAATATAAAAATTTTTATATACATTTTTTTTCTTGGTCATTGAACTACAAAAATAAATGATTTTTATTACATATCTTATAAAAGTAATTTATATTTAAATACAAATTTAATATTTTGAATTTTTCCTATTTGTATATTAAAATATTATTCATATAATTAAGTTGATTAAGTCTCTTTGAAACACTAATAATTTTATATAAATGACTAGTGAAAAAAAATTATCGTAACGTACTTGAAATCATTTTTTTATATTTTTTTTTTAAATAAAATTTTTCAAAAAACAATAAATAGGTCCAGTAACAAGAATGTCTAAACAAGAAATGATTATAAAGGAAAAAAATTAAATTTCAAACAATATTTTTATAATTCAAAATATCCCGCAAACTCTTATTTTCGCAACATCGTTTCAATTTTCTTGAAAATATTTATGTTTTCAAGGAATTTAGAATAAAATTTGCAATAATTTTATTAATTTATTAATAAAATACAACTAGAATAATTTTCAGAAATATTTTCATTCATAATTTAAATAATAAAATTTTATTACCTTTTATTAATTATAAATGGCTTATAAGGTCATTATAAAGACCATTGCAATAAAAAGATATAAAAATTGAAAAAAACAAACAATATTTTTACATAAATTATATTAGACGACATTGTGCATTTAAGTATATCATTTTAAGACTGCAAAATATTATTTTTTAAAGCATTTCAATGAACATTGCAAGAGAAAAAAAAGGTCCATTATTTCTCCATGTTTTTTTCTTCATATTTACATAAGGCATATCAAATATCAATAATTTATTACTTATTTAAAGCTCATCATAAGCACGTAAATCAAAAGTGTCATGAATATTTCAACATAAAATTTTGTAGCTTTTTTTAAATTTAATCAAAATAAAATATTTATTAAAATAATTTTTTAGGGTTTTTTTTTTTTTTTAAATAATATCAATAAAAAAAATTAATAATCCAATCTGTGTTTGTTTTATATTATCTAATATAATTTAATTATATATGATAGGAAATGTTTTCGCAATATACGCATATATAAGTATATATATATACATAGTAGAAAAATAAAATAATATTTAATAGATAATAAAAAATCAACAATGTGAAGGATTCTTATTTATAGTGTATTTTTCTTGACAATTTTATTTTGTGTTGAAAAATTTGAAAATTTGAAAAAAAAAAAAAAAATAAAATGAAAATTAGTTGAAAAATTCAGATTTCAAATCTTAATTATATTATGATTAATTGAAGATTTTTAATTTTACGCAGAATTCTGAATATAAATTATATAGTGCGTAATACTTAATGTACAGTAATAAGATCTTTCATAGTAAAAATATGAGAATATATAAGTATACATGTATAAAACAATTAATATAAATATTGGAATTAAATGGCTTAATATCTAACAAAAATTTTACAAAATGAATTGATAATTTTTGGAATCTGCAACTTCCAAAAAAAGAAAAAAATTGGAAATTGAAAAAATTTCCTTTAAATCGAAAAAGACATTTTATTTGTACATTTTTACATATATTATATGTATATCGTATGCGAAACATACGCGTAACCAATATACTTATAATATGTATCGTAAATCAAAATTGAATTTTGAAAACCATTACAATCAATTGATTCATATCCTTTACGTTAACGTAACTCTATATATTTACGATGGTCGAACTAATATAATAATATTTTAGATGTATAACATATTATAGAGATGTATAACATAAAAATTGTTGATAAAATAAAAGCTTAAAAAAAATTTGAAAAAAAAAATTTAATTACAGTTTGAACTTATATCATTTTATCATTCTAAAAATATATATGTAATCGAATTTAACAATATGCAGATATAGATCGAATCCTTGCCGAATTAAATTCGATTATGAAAAGTATTATGCAAATAAGGAACCGGAATTCTTTAAACTATACAACTTTTAACTTAAATAATTACTTTTAATATTCAATCTATAAATATATTTTATCCAATTAATATTTTTTGAATAAATTTTATTTTAAAAAATAAATCAAATTTGATAGAATTTTGTTAACATTAAAGAATAAGTTTATACAAATTTTAAGTATAAAATCTTATTAAATTTTTAATACATAGCCATAAAATATTTTTAAGATTTTATTCATAAAAATTTTTTTTATTTTATTGCTCAAGTTGCTATTAAAAATTTTAAAATAGAATCAGATAGAATAAATTAAAATTTAATTTTTTTTTTTTTTATTTTTTATGAAAAAATAATTTGATAATTGATTTTTAATATCATATTTTATATTTTAATCTTATTATCCTTAAAAATGGTATGCATATATATATGTATCAATATAACGGTAAACTAATTAAATTTATGCAATTTGCTTTTTGTTAAACTACACATTTTTTTTTTTGTTTTTAGTTGCAAATAACGGTAATATCAATCAAATCTTTTTGTATTGGTCCTTTTTTTTCCATCTCCCAGTAATTTATATAACTGTATTTTATAGTATTTCTCTTTAATTACAAATAATTTGTTCCTCTTAATATATAAGATCAAAAATTATATAATTTTTATATTTTTCAATATGCAATGCAACACAAATTACAAATTTTATTTTTTTTTTGTTTTGTTTTGATAAGTTTTACAACATAATCTAACATTTTTATTTAACACATGTTACAGTTATTTAGTTTTTTCTTTCCTATATTTTAATTTATCTTTATTTTATTTTTTTATTTACTTATTTTCTTTCTTTCATAAATTATTATGGAAAATAAGATAAAATTGTTCCAAATTGTTAATTTATTATAACAACATTTTTTTTCATTTTTTTTTTTATTTTTAATATTTACTTAGCTCTACATATTCAAAACAAAATATACATATGCATGCATGTATTTTTATAATATTTACTCATAGGAATGTCAAATATATATATGTATCCACCATGGATTAAATCCATATAATATATATATAGATTGAATAATTTTTTTAATCTTAATTAATTAAAATGTGTGCAGCTTATTAATTAATTATTAAATATATTATGTATGTATATATGTCCATATATATTTATTATAATATATAACATTATGCATAAAATCTAATAATAATAAGTATTATAAAATATAAAATTTTTATTTAAATTAATTACCCTGTATAATCACCATCTTTTACTGCTGAAATTTTATTTAATATCGTAAAGGATATTATTATTGTAATAAAACTTATATATTTTTTTAATTTCATAATTATTTCCTATATATATATATATTTATATTTTATATAATATATATAAATATAAAGTAATTATTTAATAATAATTACTCAATAATTAATTAATTTAAATGTTTAATAATTTTTAATTAATTTTTTTTTTGTTTTTTATAATACGTATTTTTGCAAAATTTTAATCAAAAAAAAAAATTTAAAAATAATAAAGTAAAAAATAATTTTTTTTTTAAATTCCGCGTTTTTTTTTTTGTTTTGTTTTTAACCCGAAATCAAAATCATTTCGATACGATTTTTGTTACTAATATGATAATGTTCATTACTAATTTGATTTTGATTTTGTAATTTTTAATATTTTGCTATTTTCCTTTTTCAACTTTTAAAAATTAAAATAAAATAAACAAAATAATAGTGTAAAAAAAAAAAGTAAAAATTCCGCGAAAGAAGATGTGAACACGACTGTTCACTTGAATCTAATTTGAATGATTAAAAAATCTTTGGTGATTTTAATTTTTTTTTCTTCTCTTTTTTTTATTTTTCTCAATATTTTGTTATAAATTTTTTTTTTTTTGTTTGTTTTAACTTTTTTATTTCCCTCATCTAAAATTTCTATAGGTATCGTTTTTAAAATAGCTAGACAACAAACACATTTCTTTATTGTGAATATTTTTAATATGTAGTTAACAATTTTTTTTTGCTTATTTTTTATTATTGTGATTATATTATTTTCTTACTATTATGTGTATTTTAGTCAATTCGCGTGCTATATTTTTGTAATAAGTATGAAAAATTCATACATATATACATATAAATTTTAGTTACAAAAATAAAATTTAATCTCTGAGAAAATATAATATAAAGAAGATCATCATAATCATAAGTGAAAAAAAAAACTACCTACATACATATGTATAACAAAATACGATATACAAAAAAGATTATCATCAAAAAATCATCAAAGATCAAAAAAACGAAGAAAAACAAAAAATAAATTCATTAATTGCTCACTTTTCGGCGTAATCTTGTATACCCACAACATGCTTACACACAAAAGCTTTTTACATTATGGATAAATGACAAGGTCATTGGTTATCAAAGACTTAACCCACGAATTAAATTTATTTCAGATATTTGAAAAAAAAAAATAATAAGCGAAAATAAATAAAAAAACAAGAAGCTAAAAAAATAGCCAAATTAATAAGAAAAGCATAAAAAAATAAAGAAGTATAACTCTATTTTTTTTGTTTTTGTTTTTCGGTTGCAGAAAAAAAATGATAGTAAAAAAAAACTTATATGTATTAGTTTTGATTTTTTTTTTCTATTTTGATTTTTTTCTTTTGCTTTCCTTCTCATTCAATATTTTGATGTTTGGGATAGAGGATTTTTAAATATGTATGGATACATATTATCTACAAACGTTAAATCACTTGTAAAACATAATTTCCGTACTAGGAACCAAAAACGAAGTATGACGAAAATACTTAACATGAGTATGATTGCGCAAAAGTACTATATGGTCCATGCATTTAGCAAACTTTTTACAACAAAAGTTAAATCGTTGTTCTAATAAAATGTAAGGTTTCAGTTTGTAAACATTTAGTTGAAAATGAAAATGTTTTTGTGATAATTAATATGTTCCTGAATAGATACGCGTATTCGCATTCATAATTATAAAACAATTGTTATCCAACCCATTCGGAAAAATAAAAAATAGAAAAACAGTATTAGCTAGTATGGTTGAAACAAGTTGCTTCTCGGAAATGTATGAACCATTTATCCAAATTCGCCTGCAAACAGCTATTAAGCAAGGCTGTCAGATATTTTTGTTATGTCAAGGTATTGAACCGTAATTAGTCGATGTAAACGACCTTACCCGTCAAGTTGATTTAATTTAATTCGATAACTATTATAAATTTTCATTTTCAGAACAAGTAAAGTACTATTTACTTATACGATAAAATCTAAGACTTTATCTGAGTCTTATAAAAGTCTTATATTATATATATTTTTTGACATTAGATTTTTTCTGACTGCAAATAATAGTAATTTATCTTATTCTCATCAGATTTTTTAAAAGTGAAGTGGCGACAAATAATTTTTTTTGGAAGTTTTAGGCAGGGATCGCCTGATTTTTATTTTTATTGAAATTTTTGTAGCAAATTGTTGAGTTTTGACGTAAAGTCTGAGTTATATCAGATAATTTCAGTCTGTTATAAAAACAATGATCAAACATGATTTGATCTTAAATTTTGTCGAATATGCCATGCTCAGACCTCAAAAAATTACAACACCCTTTTAAATTTAAATGAAACTCTTGTACGTACTTGTATTACGAAAGAAAACTGAAATTCATAACCCTTTTAAAAACCATTTGTTTCGTTAATTATAAATCAAGAAGAAAAAAAATTTTTTATGAAATTGCTCTGCTAAAATTATTGATGCATATATGGTTAACCTAACAAATAACTATTCAAAGTTCATCGTAATTTTTGGTCATTTAAAAAAACAACTTAATAAAAAGAAGAAAAAGAGAAGAGTTATTATTGAAGAAAAACATTGAAATTCTATCTTAACCCGATTAAAAATTTTGGATATTTGAATTTTTTTCTGTTTTTTCTCTTCTTATTTTTGATCTTTCTTTTGTTTTATTGATTTTTTGGTGAATGCCGGAAACAAATTGGGCGATAAATTTTTTTTAAGAAGGTTTTGTTTTTTTTTTATTGTTCATGTCTACTTCTTTCGATTACTAAGCAAAACAAACAAATTAAAAGTGAAAAAAAAAGACCGTTTACTCTATTGAAGAATTTCAAAGATTTTTAAGTAAAAATATTGTTAACTTCAAAATGTATGTATGGACACATATACATAATAATATTATATTATAGATGAACCTATCAAGAAAAAAACAAACAAAAAACCACTTTGTCAAACAACTCAATATTCGCACTAGCAAATGAATTCCTCACTTCTGACATTGAAAGTGCTACATATTTTTGAAATTTAGTAATTTAATTACAAGCCTAGTAAATAATCGAATTCTTTTAATTTGCATATTGTATACATGTCAAAAAAGAAGATGAAGAAGAAACATGAAATAACTGGAATATTTTTGTGTAACATTCAAAACGGTAAAAAATTTTAATAAAATAAAAGTTTTCATCGAATTAAGTTAAATTTGTATAAAAAAAATTAGAAAAACAAAAACATTTTTGGTTTTAATCATTAAATCGAAATCGAAAAAAATCGAATCGAATGTCACTAATTTAGCTTTATATGGGTACGTATGCCATTTTTCACTGCGATCAATTAATTTAAAATTAAAACATTAAATATATATATATGTAAAAACACAGCCATTTATAACATCTGACAGGTTTTAAAGATTTTTTTAATATTTACCGGTTTTAATAGGCCTAGTATATTTTTTATATATTTTACATGTAAACCACATAAGATATTTTTTAATTCCGGTTAGATACGCACATAATTTATTTTATATAATTATATAATTTATTATGTAAGTTTAAAGCGCTATTTATTATCGAATTTTGAAATATTAAAATAACGTTTAAAATAAAAGCCAAAATTAAGTAGTATTCAAATTTAAAAATACTTGTTGCTCGGGTTATATATTTTGACCTTAAAACACTTGTTATAATTAAACATATTTTTAGTAAGGAATTTCTAATTATGACAAAGGCATTTCAATGGACAGATAAATCTTGTAAAATATAATCAAGCCCTCAATTTCGAATATTTTGGGTGGTCGTCAATCTGCTTTTTTATTTTTTATAACATCTTATTATTTGTTATTGTTTATATAACAAGTTTGATTTAGTGTTTAAACCTTGACACTACAAAAAATCTGTATTTCTGTCAGCCGTGGTTTAAACAGAATTGTCAAACCAGATGACATTGCTATTTAGATACTGATATGAAAATAATAATTGTATTCAAACTTTAAAGTATAATGTACTTTTGAAATAAGAAATTGAAAGGAATATCAAAAAATTACAATAAAAACATAAAAAATTATGAGCTCGATTATAAATAAATGCTTTATTTCGATACAACAATAGATTGACTTGCTCAAGCCAAGCAATATTTACCAAAATAATTATTATTTATTTTATCATTCATTGTAAGCCAGGATCGTAAAAGTGCTAATTAATTTTAGGAGTTTCTACTTTTTGTCCATTTTTATTTGATACTCTTGTCATTTTTTCATTGATGTTACTTTTTCAAATCATGAGTTTGATTTTTTTTTATTGCATATTTTAATTTCTCTTTCTCATTATTTTACAAGTGCGATTTCTCATTATTTTACACTTGCATACTCATATATTTTTATATTTAATTTTAAATGCTATGAGTATTGCATTACAAATATAAAATGATATTTTAATGTTATTGTGAATTAACGTGAAATGAGTCTGAATATTATTTTTTAAAGTCTCTCTTTGTGTCAATATTTGTTACATATTGTAGGAATATTTCTTATCTTTCAAACCATATTATTTTGAAAGAAATAACTATGCTACTTTTATGCTACTTTTTTTAACCTAATTTTTGGTACTTTTTTCAAATTTCGATACTTTTATTCTTCAGAACAAACCCTTGTTGAAGATCGCAAGCTATACTGTAAAATAAAGTTTTAAAGAAGTGAAACAAGAAAAGCGTAAGCAAAATAAGAACAGTGTTTTGTGTTTTTTATATAATTTGTGAGAAGTTATGAAAAAACTAGAATTTACAATATATCAATGGATCAATAATATTGTCATCGCAATATTCATATTTTAAAGGATTATGTAAGTGAAATTTTATAAAACGTTTTAACTAATTCAAATAAATTTTTATTTCTCCGTTACTAATTTAGCAGTTCCAATAGGAAGATTAACTTATTGTAAACTATATTATCATGTTTTTTTTGTGACTTCTAAACTAAAATATTGTAAGTTTGAGAATTTATTTTCGTTTATCTTGCCAAAGCCTTTGCGGGGTTGCTAAAGCTTATTGTGTATGCATGCATGTACTAATAAATAAATCCCGTGTAATCATAAATACATATATCCCGTAGAGGGACGAAACAAATTTAATACTTCCAATAATTATAAAATTAAAACGT